ACTGTTCAGAGGAAAGGTTTCCTGTACAATTGATCTACGGGTAGTGCTCAACTTACAACCACAATTGATTCCAGTTCCCCTTGTTGTAAGCAAGGCAATTGTTATGTGATTTGTGCCCACTTTTACATTTTTTTGCCATGGCTATTGAACAAATCGCTGCAGTTGTTAAGTGAATCACGCAGTTGTTAAGCAAATCCAGATTCCTCCATTGATTTTGGTTGTCCAACGTCCGCTGAGGGGATTACAAATGGTGATTACATGAATGCTGCAACTGTCAAAAATATGTCGGTTGCCGGGCACATCGATGTTGATCACATGACCACAGGGATGCTGTAAGTCCGGGGACTGATCGTAAGTCACATTTTTTCCCCAGTGCTGTTGAACGGTCACTGAACAAATAGTTGTAAGTTGAGGACTACCTGCACTAGCCACGGAAGATCAAATCAACCCCAACTGGACAAATCTGCTCCAACCAGTCTTCCTTTCCGCTTTTTGGTTTTGTAGTGAGTCAGCTGGAAGGTAAGAGTCCCCACCCCATTCTCATTCTCAAACCTCCCCAAGCAGCTGTGTGATGTCAGCGATTTGTGGGAGACCACAATGTGTCTACAAACTGCAATGCCGTCTGTATGAATCATTCACCCCAAACTGAGGAATTCCACATCCAACTCCAATTTCACAACAGGTGCAGCCCAGCAAATCCCCAGTTCTCTCTCTTGGCAGCCCCATCTTCAGCCAAGCTTTTGTTTAAGCTATGGCCAAAGAACTCCAGAGCTCGAAAATCCAGCCCAGAAAACAAAAGACAGGACTTTACCAGATGGGGTGGAATGAAATGGTTTCGCCCCAACATAGGCAATTTGCTGCCTTCCAGGTGTTTTGGATTATAAATCCATCTCTGGATTTGGCCAAGCTGGCTGAGGCTAGCGAGGTACAAAATCTTAAGCTATAGGAAGGCCCCCAAGTCACCTGCCTGATTTGCAACTTTTTTTTTTACAGAATTGAAAAATCTATGTAAAGAAAGTAATAGTGCAATCCTTTACGGGAGTAGCGAACCTGCGGCCCCGCAGACCGTATGCAGCCTTGAACAGCTAGTAATGTGGCCCCACAACAAGGGTTGGTTCTGGCTGCTGCTACTGCCAGTTTGCTCAGGGACCTGGGTACCTGAGAGACCGCCTCCTGCCAATTACCTCCCATAGACCGATTAGATCACACAGGTTAGGCCTTCTCCGGATCCCATCTGCCAGCCAGTGTTGGCTGGCGACTCCCCGGGAAAGAGCCTTCTCTGTTGCAGCTCCAGGCCTCTGGAACGATCCCCCTGTGGAGATCCGGACCCTCACTACCCTCCCGGCCTTCCGCAAAGCCACCAAGTCCTGGCTGCTCCAGCAGGCCGGGGGGCTTTCGAAATATCCAGCCCCTCGGCAATTGTGACTGTTGTACATTTTAATATGTTGTCTTGTGTATTATCCCCCTCCCTTGTTTTATTGTAAGCCGCCTGGAGTCCTTCGGGAATGGGCGGCATACAAGCTCAATAAATGAAATGAACGCGCTGTGCACCCACGCACACTATGCGTGCATGCGCAGTACAAAAAATGCTTCTGCACATGCGCAGAAGCAAAAAACAAAATGTCGGGCACAAAGGCGCCACCAAGAGAATCGTTTTGGGGGGCATGGCAGGCCAAGTTACTACTTACTTGCTTGAACCAGTCTGAACTGGTAGGAATCCACAAGATCATAAACTTTTAACTTTATTTATAAGATAAAGCTTTCAACTTGTCCAGTTGTGTCCGACCCTAAGGGGAAAGTGCCCATCTCCATTTCTTAGGCAAGGGAGCCAGAGTTGTCTGAAGACGCTTTCGGGGTCATGTAGCCAACATGACTACGCATCAAGGCGCACAGAGCATTGTGGCCTTCCCACCGAAGTGATACCTATTTACCTACTTCAGAGGTGGATTCTCCCAGTTTGGCCCGGATTAGCTGAACCAATAGTCTCAGTGGCGGGAGGCTCCGCCCACCCACCCAGATGCTTCTGCACATGCGCAGAAGTGTTGCATGCACACGCACAAGCAAACCGATAGTAAAAAAAGATTGGAAACCCACCACTTGCATATACATGCTTTCGTATTGGTAGGTTGGCAGGAGCTGGGGCAAGTGACGGAAACTCACCCTGTCCTGCAGTGCTCAAATCTCGAACCCAGGCTATAAGCTTTCCAGCTGATAAGCTCAGCATCTTTAACTGCTGAGCCATCTTATTAACTATATTATATATTTTATTTGCAGTCCACAATAATTCCTCTTTATTTAAAGTGGCCCAGGCAAGGCAAAAGGTTGGACATGCTCGCCGCGAGTGATTAAAGGCTAATATCTTTGAGTAAATTCAGCTTACCCTTAGGTTAAGAGCTATAGGACTATGACAGGATGTGAAATATGGCCAATGAGAAAGGGCTGTTATAATCAGTTGAAGATTGAAAAGCCCATCCTGCTTAATCTTAATTTTCCACCTTGCTTCTCCACCCACATTTTTATTTTGCTGTTCAGTTTTTTAAATGTACTGCAATGTCACCCTTAAATGTTAATGCAGCAGTAGCTTTTATTTTTCTACATTTGTGCTCTGCTTTAAGATAACTATAGAGGAAGTGACCTATATATTAAATAAATGCAGGAAATAGTATTATAAACCATTTGAGGAATGATAATCACCCATTCTCAGTTTCAGATATGCTTAGACTACATTTCCCAGAATTAAAGTCAGCCTGGCTGTGTAGTCCCAGCATGCCTGGAGGCCATCCACTTGGAGATGATATCCCAAAACAATAAAAGTCATAGGAAGGAAACTCCCAAGGTTGTTCCCTCATCACTAAAGCCAAATGAAAATATTCCAGGGTTGAGAAAACTACAGCCCAAAGGCTGCTTGGAATTCTACAAATTGAATTAAGTCCTGAAGAAAACCACTAACATGTCACAAAAATAAAATTCACCCTTTAACATATTTAGTGGATCTTTATGTAAGTCAGTGGAATCTATAGAGCAGTTTTAAACTGTGATAATGTTTGGGTTCAGTGGTGGGTTTCAAATTTTTTTAGAACCTCTTCTGTGGGTGTGGTTTTGTGGGAGTGGCTTGCCGGCCATGTGACTGGGTGGGAGTGGCTTGCCGGCCATATGACTGGGTGGGCGTTGCCAACTTATAAAATGTGGTGAAACTCACTTAACAATGCTCTTGCTTAGCAACCAAAATGTTGGCTCAGAAACTCTGGCATTTGAAGCACGCAAGTCTTAAAGCTGTCAAGTTAAAGTTACAAGACCCCTAACCCTTTAGAAAAGAATACCCCTGGAGTGTTCAGACTCGACAGCTTTAAGACTTGTGGACTTCAACTCCCAGTTGAACCAGTTCTAAACGGCACTGTAGATTTGTGGAACATCTTCTATAGAAGAGGTTC